TCCCCATTCTTTGGCTGGCTCCCTACTTGTATTGTGGGATGTGTGGGATGGTCTCACATCCCTGCCAAGGGGCATTCTCCTGAGATCGCTAATTCTACCTGACTCCATCCCTCACTACCACCCTCAGGATCTTCCATTAGCAGACTTTCAGTATCCAGGCACAAATTCTTCCCCATCCAACTCCAGGCTGGGTCCTGGGCTGCTCAGCCCAAAGGCCCCGTGACCCTTAACAAAGCCCAGGTCCAGAGCCCGCCTCGAAATCAAAGGCATCTGGGTGCAGTGCTCTTGGACTTTTTCTTTGCTTTCTGGTTTCTGTTTATCTGCTGGTTCCACCCGCTTGCTTGGGTGCTTGTTCACTGCTATGAACTAAAGGTTTGTGCCCCAAAAATTCATGTGGAGAAGCCCTAATCCCCAGTGAGATGGTTTTCGGATGTGGGGGTCTCTGTGAGGTAATTAGGTTTAGAAGAGGTCATGAGGGTAGAGCCCCCATGATGGGATTAGTGTCCTTATAAAAAGAGGACAAGACACGAGATCGCTCTCTGTGTGTGCATGTGCCAAGGACAGGCCATGTGAAGACATAACCAGGAGGACAGCCCTCACCAAGAACTTGACTATGCTGGGACCCTGATCTTGGGCCTTCCAGACTCCAGACCTGAGGAATAAATGTTTGTTGTTTAAGCCCCCCAGTCTATGATTTTTCGTTATGGCAGCCCAAACTAAGACACCCATCCACCCAGCTTCCCCTCAGAGTGCATGCTCCCTAGTTTTGGCTCCTACCATAGTGTCAGATTCATCCTGGCTGAAGACTGCTCACCAACAACTAAGAGACACCTTCCTCTTGCCAGCAGGTCCTTAGGGAATTTTCCTGTCTCTAGTCTCTCCTGAGTACAGACCTTTTTTACCTTGGGCTTCTCATCTCTTAGCTTCCACCCTCCACAGCCCCCCATCTTGGCAATGACCCGTGCACCAGCCATATACACTGAGTGCTGATGTTGCCAGTTGAGGGCAAGTTTATCCTAACACATCAAGCTCCTCCACAGTGAGGTCATGGGCAAAGCCAGGATAAATTTGGCTGAGACCCTGCCCACAAAGAGTCTGCAGTCTAGGAAAAGAGTTCTCTGAGACAGACTATGACAACATACCTAATAGAGCCATTAAACATTAGGACAGCAAGGAACCTGCATGAAGACGGCAGATTTCAACCAGACCTAGAAGAAGAAGTAGATTTTGACATGCAAAAATGGAACAGTCCAGATCTAGAGACAGTGTGAGCAAAAAAATAGTGGACAGCATATTCCCCAGAGCAAAAGGAACTCCTGTTTCACTGGCTCAAAGCGTTTGAGAAAGGAGTCCTGAGAGATGAAATGGGAAAGCAGAGTTGGGACCAAAAGGCTAGATAGAGCCTCTGAAAGTTTCAAACACATGCTGATGGGTCAGAGCTAAGCTTTAGGAAAATCAAATCTCTTAGGAGTAAATACACATCCACATTACACGTCCTGACCGATTTAACCAGGCAGTTTAATGGAGCATTTGGACACTCTTGTGGGTTGATGTGTGTCCCCCAAAAAGATATGTTTAAGTCCTAACCCCTATTACCTATGAATGTGACCTTATTTGGAAATTGGATCTTTGCAAATACAATCAAGTTAAAGTGAGGTCACATGGGTAAGGGTAGACCCTACATCCAATAGCTGGTGTCTTTATAAGCGAAAGGAGGAGATTTAGAAACAGACACATAGTCACAAGAGAAGACAACCGCCACGTGGAAAAGGAGGCTGAGACTGGAGTGATACTGTCACAAGCCCAGGAATGTGCAGAGCCAGCAGAAGCTGGAAAAGGCAAGAAAAGATTCTTCCCTCCAGCCTTTGGAGGGAGTATGGCCCTGCCGACACCTTGATTTTGGACTTCCAGCATCCAGAACTAAGGGAGGATAAATTTCTATCGTCTCAGGCTACCCAGTTTGAGATAGCTCTTACAGCAGCCCTAGGAAACTAACGCAGACGTGAATTAAGCTTGACTTGAAAATCATCAATGCTTTAAGACCTTCGGAGAAGATGGGATAGTTCATGGAGGAGGAGGGGATCCTAGAGAAAGGATACAACCATGACTGGAATTGTGGATGTAAGATGTCTAAAGGGAAAGAGGTATACAGAGGGGGATAGAGTCAACCATCCAAGGTCAACAACTTCTGATGACTGAGAGTCTTGGTTCAATCCTAGCCTGAAAGGATCCATCAACAATGGGGCTAATCCTTCCATTGATAGTTAATCACTAGGCTTCTTGGCTGCCCCCATGGGCTTTCTCATCTTTGTTCACTTCAGCCAGAATCCACACATTCCTTATTCTTCCCGTGGTCCTTATCATTGAGAAGAGCACTTTGCTATTAACCACCATGTATAAATGGACCATAAAACAAAAAAAACAGGACTTGGGAAACTTAAGTTTCACTAGTCACCACCTACCCAAAGATGAATGTGTACTTAGTTACCGCAATTTTTCTGATTAGAAAATTAACCCCTACTCATTGTAAAATCTTTCAAAATTAGAGAAAACTATGCATAAGAAAATAAAAATACCTCAATCTCAACACTAAAAGATACTTATTGTTGCTCTTTTGGCTCTATTTACTATTGATACTTGACATAATTAAGAGAAATACTTTATAATTAAAGGAAAAAATCTGAAGATGAGATATTTGGGAAGAATCACTCAGACCTAGAAAATGGAAAGAAAAAAAAACCAGAATGCCCGAGAAAAATGGAGAGGGGTGAGCCCAGGTATTCCAAGGGCATTAACCATTTTAACACTGCAAGAGGTCAGAGAGATTTTATTCAAATCAAAGGAAGAAATTCAAAGATAGGAATCTCATAGATCCTAAAGTCAGCTGCAAACATTCAGGGCATTAAACTAGTAAACCTGACTCAGGTCCTAATTAAGCTTCCCGTTTCAGAACTCCACAAAGTAACTTTTCCAAGCTAGAAAAACGGTACCTTAATATTTCCTAGAAAGAGCTCCATTTTTTCCCAAGTCATCGTTTTCTAGCAACCGTAACACAGCAACCAAGACTGTATCTTATGCCCTTGGAACCTGTCTCCCCAAACCCCTGTAAATCTTGGCTGTCTCGCCTGTGGCCTGGGCCCCAGAATGTTGGAGGAGCTGGCTCGGTGTGCATAATAAAGATAAAGTCCGGGCCCTCTACATTGCTGGTTGCCAGTTGCCAGTTGCTAGGAGGCCCATAAATTCACTTTTTCTGACTTGGATGGGATTCAGAACTGCTGTATCACAGGCCCAGAAGACATGGATTCTTGCAATTAAAATTCAGAGTCTGTCCTCCAGAAATAATTTTAGCCCTCCTCACTCTAAGCAGCTACCTTAACTAGTCCTGGTTTGCGTTAACTAGTCCTGATTTGCGTTAACTAGTCCTGATTTAAAGACCAGGCCATTCATTTAGATTTCTAAAGTCTTCGGCAAGAAGACTCCAGGCTCCTAATATTAACCTGCAACTTTCACAAATAAAGTCCATCTGGTTCTGACTCTATTTCCTCAAAGAAAGAGAGTCATTTGCGGGTTTTTGAACTGATCTGAAACCATGCAACACGCTCCCACAAACCTTTTTTTTTTAAGGTAACTTGAATGGTTTGATACTGGTGAGGGTTTACAGGGCTAAGATTGTAGGCAGATTCAATCCCCAAGTTAAAGTAATTAACTGTCAGGGGGAAGAAACCACAGGGCGAATTTTTTCAATCTATTTTAAAATAATTAGATTGTTAAACTGTTTAGTTAAGTGAAACTCATCGTTATGAGGTTTTAATTTTTTTAAATTACAATGAAATGTTAAAGTTCAATTGATCTAATTGTAGAAATGATTATTTCTAATCACAGAGATGTCAAGATGAGATAATTATTCCAACATTCATAAAACTTTCCTAAAATGTCACAGTAGATCTTGCATCGCACTTAGAATATTTTATCTGAAAATATTTTTAGCACTCTACAAACTGCTTAAGAGGAGTAACATTATAATGATCAGTCTGCAAATATTTTTCCTTGCAAAATATTAACCACAGCAGGTTTGAGGGCTAAGCATGAGTCTTTCACAATATATTTATTAGCAAAATCCTGAAATCATTATATGGGTGAAATTGCTCAAACACTGAGAAGCCCAAAACATCTGACACTGTCCGATGTTTTTAATTTTCAATCCTAAAAAGGATACTTTATTAATTTAATTCCACCTAAAATAATAACCAAAATTTTTTAAATAACCAAAATAAGCTGATGCCTCAGATTATGATTATTAATCTGATAGCTCACTTCCAAATATCCAGAAAACATAAGATCCTTTCTTAAGCAAAGAAGTTGAAATCTGAGATCTCTAATGGCGTTTGCGTCCTTTGAATGCAGGGTCTCTGAACCTCAGCGCTATAGACTATGGACCAGATAATTCTTTGCTCTGGGGGAACTGTGCTGTGCATGGCAGGGTGTTAGAACATCACTGGCCTCTACCAGCCAGATGCGAAATATCTCCTTGATCTAAATAGATGCCAGCATCACCTCCCCAGTGTGACAACCAATAATGTCCCCAGTCATTGCCAAATGGCACCTGGCAAAGTTGCCCCCAATTAAGAACCTCTGACCTAATATAACACCACAAAAAATATCACCCAGCAGAAATTTAACACCCAAAAGCTGATACCAGAAGATAGTTCACTTTCAAATTACATTGCAAATATATCTTTCATACAGCTTTGGTAAATAAATAAGATAACCGAGTCATTCAAAGTTTTTTAAGTAAACAAAGTATTGCTCTTTTTTTAAAATGTGAAATCAGAACTTTAAGATAAAATGTTTCCAGTGCGCCTTTTCTCAATCTTTAACTTAATTAAGCCATGCCAGAGGAAGCAGAGAAAAGAAAATGTAAAACTAGCGTAGCAACTAGCTACAGGGTGAAAAGTATTGACGGAGTCATAACTAAGCAAACATTCTTTATTGATTTTCAGCTTTCAAAAAGCAAACAATATGCAAAGGATGTCACGAGGAAAGTGAAATGACAACCCACAGAATGGAGAAAAGGTTTGCAAATCATTTATCTGATAAGGGATTTGTACCTAGAATACATAAAGAATTCTTACAATTGAATAAACAGATAAAACACCCAATTTAAAAATGGGAGGGCCGGCCCAGTGGCGCAGCGGTTAAGTGCACACATTCTGCTTTGGCGACCCGGGGTTCACCAGTTCAGATCCTGGGTGAGGACATGGCACCGCTTTGCATGCTGTGCTGTGGTAGGCGTCCCACATATAAAGTAGAGGAAGATGGGCACGGATGTTAGCTCAGGGCCAGCCTTCCTCAGCAAAAAGAGGAGGATTGGCAGCAGTTAGCTCAGGGTTAATCTTCCTCAAAACAGAAAAAAAAATAATGAGAAAGAATCTGAATAAACAGTTCTCCAAAGAAAATACACAATTAGCCAATGAGCATGAAACGTGAAAAGATGCTCAACATCATTATCTATCAGGAAAATGGAAATTAAAACCACAAAGAGACACCACCTCTCACCCACTAGGATGGCTATAACCAAAAAGACAGATAATAGCAAATGTTGGCAAGAACGTAGAGAAATTGGAATCCTCATACCCTGCTGGTGGGAATGTAAAATGGTACAGCCGCTTTGGAGAACAATGTGGCAGTGCCTCAGAAAGTTAAACACAGGACTTACCATAGGCCCTAGCTATTCTGCCCCTAGGTATATACCAAAAAGAATTTAAAGCAAGTATTCAAACAAACATTTGCAAACTAATGTTCATAGCAGTAACTATTCACGATAGCCAAAAGGTGGGACCAACCCAAATGTCCATCAACTGACGAATGAATGAAAGAAATGTGGTCTATCCATACAATGAAACATTATTTGGCAATAAAAAGGAATGAAGTACTGATCCACGCCACAACATGGATGGCCCCTGAAAGCATCATGCTAAGTCAAAGAAGACAGTCCCAAAAGACCACATATTCCATGATGCCATTTATGCGTGATGGCCAGAACAGGCAAATCCATAGAGATGGAAAGGAGATAGAGAAGTGGTTACCCGAGGCTGGAGGGAGAGGTGGGGAAGGAATGTGAGTGATGATGGGTTTCTTTTGGAGGTGATGAAAATGTTCTAAAATTGATTATGGTGATGGTTAGGCAACTCTGTAAATATACCAAAAACCATTGAATTGTACACTTTAAAGAAGTGAACTGGAGAGTGTGTAAATTATCTCTTAATAAAGCTGTTATAAAAACCAAAACAACCTATAGACAAGGCAAAGAAGACTTAATCATGCTCATGGAAGCCAGTCTTACCAAGCCGGATAGATGACAGAAGCTGGGCCATTACCAGGGAGGAAAGACACATCAGGACACTGATATTCTCACTTTACTAAGGGGAGGTTAAAGGTCACTGTCATCAGTTGTTGGAAGTAAATTAGAGGTCTATGTAAATAACAAAGATTGAAGAAAAATCAATGTAAGAACTACAAATATAATCATCAAAAATCAGGAGAATGAAGGAAGGCGGTGAGACACAATAGATACGCTTAATTGTCATTTATCATAACAGGAAGTCAATAAATAAAAGTGGCATATGCATATTATTTAGAGATATAAAGACAACCACTAAAAACAAAAACCAACTAAAGTCACTGTGTCTGGAGAGTACAGGAGTGGGTGGGAATAAAACACGATGGGGACGGAAGATTGTTGCTTTTCCCAAGCTCATCTGTTCTATGAGTTCGTTAATACCATATGGAATTACTTCGCATATTGTTTTTAGAACCAGATCAAACTTAGCATTACTCAAGTTGAGGAATCTGCATGAAATGAGAATATACTGTATGTCAGAAAACATATTAAACTGGATCATCAACACTGAGTGAAATTGTGATTGAATGGGATGGAGCAAAATTGACTCAAGTTTTTAGCCAAAGACTGTACCCCTCTTAAGACAGCTTGGAAATGTATGTAAGATCCTTGAGAGAACAAGGAACATGGACAAAGCCCCTACCTCTGTATGGCAGGCAGTAAGAATCACCATTAGAAGGTCAAAGCCTCACCATGGCAAGAACATTCTAAAGTTCTTATAACTTTGCAATCCAAAGGACTTTTTTTTTTTTGAGGAAGATTAGCCCTAAGCTAACATCCACTGCCAATCCTCCCTTTTTTTTTTTTGCTGAGGAAGACTGGCCCTGAGCTAACATCTGTGCCCATCTTGCTCTATTTTTTTTCCCATCTTCTCCCCAAAGCCCCCCAGTACATAGTTGTGTATTTTAGTTGTGGGTCCTTCTATCTGTGGCATGTGGGACACTGCCTCAGCGTGGTTTGATAAGCAGTGCTAGGTCTACGCCCAGGATTTGAACCAGCAAAACCCTGGGCCACTGAAGCAGAGCGCACAAACCCAACCAACGGGCCACGGAGCCAGCCCCCCAGGGGATATTTTAGATGAAAGAAAATATATGTGGCATTCTCCCTACACAGCAGATCCCAGTTTAAATCCATTTTGAAAGCCAAAAGGTGAACGTAGAGGCCGCTCACCACCAGAACACAGCAGAATCTGCCACCAGGAAAGTACTCCCCACAGTTATCTAAAACATGAGGGTTACAGCTTTGACACTTGGGACTCAGGATTGCAGCCAAACTGGGATGCTTTTGAGAATGTCAGGTAGTAGAACTAATAAGGACACCAGGCAACAGGCATGACCAGGAGTGTCCCGGAGTGTCCTGGTGTGCCCAAGAGAGTGTAGGGCCTGACAGGCACGGAAAAGGGGCTGTGTGGCTACCAGGACGCAGGAGGCTACACCACGCTGAAGAACTTGCCCTCCACGGCCTCGCTTTCCAAGGATATCCTTGTGTCATGTGAGGAGATGGACATACCCATTTTGCAAAAAGGCAAAAACTATCACGTTACCTCAGTTAGTTGGGTCAGCTCTTACAGAGTCCAAAAAAACCAAAATCCACATAAGAAGGTCATGGGGAGAATAAACCCACAGTTCTGCGTCTCTAAAACACTGCCCGAAAAGCGGGTGGGAACTAGCTAATGGGTTCCTGACTCTCCTAGACTTTCCTGCTAGAAATCTTCATCTCCCAGGAACATGGCCAAGTGCTCTCTGCTCTCTGCTCAGCCCAGGTGATGTGGGTGGGTCAAAAGAGATCTTGTCCCCAGGATCTTAAGAAGCACTGGGGCAGTCAGGCTCAGGGCTGGAATCTCTCCTCCCCCCCCCCCGCCCCCCCAAAAAAACCCAGGAGGCCTCCAACGTGGCAGATAAAAAGGGGAGGCAGAGCAGACCCCCTCCTCAGGGCCCCTCAGACTCACCCTGCAGGCATCAGGCCCACCACCACCCCCTCTTCGGAGCAGCCTTGGGTGGAGCATCCCATCCACGTCCATGGTCCTGACAGCTCCACAGGGAGGATTCCCAGACTGGTGACTCAGCCTGACCTCCCTCTCCCTCGGGGCTGACTGGTGGCTTTCCAGGGCTCATCATCACCTCTGCGGAGGGCCGAGGAGACCAGGAGCAGGAACTAGAATGGATCTGTCTACAAGGCTCGCAGCTCCTGGCCCAGGAGGAGAGCGCTCGGCTGGAGGCAGCCACTGCAGTGGCAGCTTCTTTCTGCAGGATATCCCGTCTTCTCTGTGGCCACAGAAAACTGGGTTTGGCGTTTTTAAGGAAAAGCAACTGAATCTCTGTAGCTGAACCTCCCGACCACTCCCCGCCCATTCCAAGCCCAGATTGGGCCCCTCAGTCCACTGTCTCCCAACCACATATTTGCTCACACACCTGTGTACTCACCTGTATACTAATCCAGTGGCACTTAATAAAATCATGCTCCATGGGGACAGAAGCTGGAATTAAATAATGCAGCCGTCTTATTTTTTTTTTTAAAGCAAAGACACTCCCCAATCCCTTTTATTTCTCTTCCTTCACGAAGTCTAAGTGACCCCGGCCAGAAAATCTGCGGAATCTTTCATAACACACTTCAGTTTTGCTGGGCTCCAAAATGCTAGGATCCCGCTTGCCTCCAACTACCTCGAAATCTCCCTTGACAGACAGATACTCTGTGACAGCACCAAGATGCAAAGGGCCTTGACCCATTCTGAACAGGAGGATGCGCCCGGCTGAAAGAGCCTTCACCCCACAGAGTCCCTCAATGAATGATCGCTCTGTTTAACATCCTTTGAATGCACACAATGGACCGGCTCTTATATCATGCCCGTATTGTGGACCCCACCGGTTTCAATGAACTGAGACCCCTCCTGCAGCAGAATACAAGTCTCTCAGCTCAGCCTCGGCACAACTAGAGAAGAATCTCCTCACTGAGCAAGAGAGCTCCAAGGTCTTCTAGAAAAATCTCACACAAGCACGGGAGGAATCTCTCCACATCCACAGTCTAGACCTTTATGAATTTCTTAATGAGGCCCCTGGAGACCACAGGGAACAGTGAAAGTCTTATGCTGGAGGGGTGTGGAGGAAGGTGCGGTGGGGGGGGGGGGGGGAGGGAAGGTGACAGAAGCGAAAAACCCGCCTATGTACTAACATCTTGTACCTCTTACACTAGAGCATTGTTTTATTTTCAAAACACTCTGTTCCTTGCGAAGCACTACTTTATTTTTGAGTGCCTCCTTTAATAATAAAAGAAAACCTTTAAAGTAAGTGATTTGGCCTACAATGATGAGAGAATTTTTCTAGCACAGGATTATTACTTACATAAAACTGAATATTTAGGGGCTGGCTCCGTGGCTGAATGATTATGGTCACGTGCTCCGCTTCGGCGGCCCAGGGTTTTGCCAGTTCAAATCCTGGGCGTGGACATGGCACCGCATGTCAGGCCATGCTGAGGCGGTGTCCCACATAACTCAACTAGAAGGACCTACAACCTAGAATATACAACTAAGTACTGGGGGAATTTGAGGAGAAAAAGCAGGAAAAAAAAAGAAGACTGGCAACAGTTGTTAGCTCAGGTGCCAATCTTTAAAAAGAAAAGAACTGAATATTTAGAGATGAAATCACCTGAAGTTTGGTATCCTAAAAAACAGAAAAATTTTGCTGGGGCCTTGCAAACCTGTTTTTTCCTGGTCCTTTTTTGAGGGGGGAAGAAAAACCAAAAAGATAGACACACACGCAGAAACATACACTCTATCCGCTTAATTTTTTTTTTCTTGAGGAAGATTAGCCCTGAGCTAACATCTGATGCCAATCCTCCTCTTTTTGCCAAGGAAGACTGGCCCTGAGCTAACATCCATGCCCATCTTCCTCTACTTTACATGTGGGACGCCTACCACAGCATGGTGTGCCAAGCAGTGCCATGTCTGCACCCAGGATCCGAACCAGCGAACCCCAGGCCACCCAAGCAGAACACGCGCACTTAACCGCTGAGCCACCAGCCGGTCCCATATCTGATTAATTCAGAAAGGAAAATGTATACGTATATATGCATGTGTGTATATAAACGTGTATACACACACACGCGCGTGCGTGCACACAAACACACTCATGCCCAGGGAAACAGTGTTTTCGATGCAGGAGTCCAAATGACTGGAGAGATTGAAAATAAGGCTCTTTCTCAACCGCAAGCCTGAACTGTGGGGTTCAGGAATCTCATGGGACTCCGTACATTGCCCCTAGGTACCAAATCCTCTCTCTGCCTTCTCCTCCCCACCCCTCCTGTCCTCTCACACAGGCAGAAGCCCCCTGCATCACTGACTTCCAGATGAAGTTTCCATGGGATTCCTAAGCTCTCACCTGCCCTTGGGAATGCAAAGGCTTGTTCTGCGCATCTATTAAAAGGCTGTCTCACAGAAATGCTGCTTCTGACAGTAAGCTCCTTGCGGAAAGGAAAGGGCTAAGCGTTAACACGCACGCCCAGGAGGCCACCAGCTCAGCAAAGTTTTTGGGGAGGAATTCCTGCCCGGGCACTCCAGAATGCCCAGGGTTCAGTCAGCTAGCCAGAACTGCAGGAATTTGGCAGGATGGGGGGGACACAGGACAGTGCTGCCTTTCCTCTCGGGTTTAGAGGGGGAGCGAGGAGAGCTGCAGGGGGAAAGGAGGAAGCCTCTGTCCCAGCTCTTTGGAAGAGCATTAGAGTGGAGTTAAATTGTCAGCTAATGAGATTTCCTAACCATGTGCTCCCTTTTAAGTCTAGGCCCCCAACTGATTTGATCCCCAGACAGCAGCAGGGGCAAAGCTGCCTTCAGCATCCCTAAGGGCCAGAGAATTCCCAGAACAAGTGCAGGAAGGCTCAGGATCATTTCTGGGTGTGGAACTTTAAACACGTTATCACATGCATTAATTGCTGTCTAGCAATAACGCTACTGGCCGCGCCACTTGCAGAAGTCAGCCTCCACTTGGGGCAACCGAGGCAGGGGGAGGTGAGCAGTGTTCCCTGTGGGCTTCCGTGCCCACTGGACAGACTGCAGGTCCCTCACCTAGTTTGTGTTTGTTTGTTTGTTTGTTTGTTTGGGCTGGTAAAGGCCCCAGGGGTCTACATTCAAAGGATGTGTTACTGCACCCAGCTCAATAATTTGCCCCAACAGGCAAAAGAGCGTTGAAATAGGAATTTTCCAATAATTCCTTATTCCGTAGCCAAGCCTGAGATTGTCTCTTTTAAACTATTTATCTGATTCTGGGTTGTTGAGGAGGTTGTTTTTGCTATTGTTTGTATTTTTCCTGTATGAAACTGGCTTCTCTCTTTGCCTATAGAAAATCAGCAATGCTGAGCTGATGAAGCAGAGGAAAAAACAAGTCAAAACACACTGACAGCATTTTGAAGATATTCAGTGAAATCAATTCTCCGCTTCTATCTTCCCTAGTTAGTCAGCAGCCTCCTCCTTAGATTTATTTCTCCTCTATTCAAAGATAATTACTTAGCAACTTTGCTGTATACCGCTCCAAGACAACATCCTTGGCAGAGCTCTTTACTGTAGGGGTATCAAAGAGAATATTCTAGAAACCACCCATTTACCAAACTTCTGCTACAAGACACGGCTCAAATTTCACTTCGACCAGGAAGTGTTTCCTCCCTGCCTCCAGGTATCTCTTTGTTCAAACCTCCCTCCACCCTGGGGTAAGCACTTCGCACAACCGCCATTGGCTCCCAGGCCACCACTTGGCACCTGGACAAGTCTCCCTCCTCCAAACCCAGGCCTGGGCCTCGGCATAGCCTTGAGGAAGAAGAAACGACTAAAACCTAGTGGAAATCCAAACACATAAAAAGGAACTGTAAGCGATTAGACAAGTATAGTTAAACGTGAGGCCAAGTCAAACAAGCCGTGTTTGAAACTGAGAACAGGAGTCCTTCGCAAGCTTCTTAAAATAAAATAAAAGCTGGGAGACTGAAGAAATGCAGAGAGGGGTTGGAGACACGGGCCGGCCTCTGTAACAGATTCCCTCTCCCAGGGAAACCTTATTCCAGCGTTTCATAGGTGGCATTCGCCACACAAAGGAGTTTATTTATACTGTTGCTTAAAACTCCCCACAAATGGGGTTATTCATTATCCCCACTTTACAGACGCGAAAACTGAGACGCAGGGAGATGAAGTAGCTCGGCGTATATTCCCCAGATTGAGTGACGCTGAGAGGGCATCGGAACCCGGGTTCCTTTGACCTCAGCGCCCAGGCTCTTAAGCTCTGCTCCAGCTCGAACAAAGTGCGCGCCAAGTCAACACGCGCGGGTAACCAGAGCGGGACCGCTCTGCCTCAAGGATGCTCCACAGCTGCTCCGCGGAGCCGCGTGGGTACCACTGAAGCGGGCACGGATTGGCCAGCGTCCCCAAGGGCTCGCGCGCGTCCTTCAAGACTTGCCAACACGCAGGAAAAGGCAGACAGGGAATCAACCTGGGCTGATCCGAGGGCAAGGCCAAAGGATGCTACCGGAAAGGAGGTGAGCAAAGCTCGGTCAGCGCCCCGACGGCCGCCAATCTGAGAGGGCCCCTGGCCAGGGCACGGCGCCGCTGGGCGCTGGGGGCCTGGGGGCGCCGTGCGCGGCGGCGACTGGGCGCGAAGGCGCCGTCTGGGCGTCTTTTCCCTGCAGCATCTCGCCAGGAGGCCGGGGGAGGGGGCGTCACCTGACAGCACGCACCAACTTCTCCAGGCTCGGAGGGGGCGCGCGGCGGCGGCCTGGGCTGGGGGAGCACAGAGCGCAGCTTTCACCCAATGGCGAGGTCTGTAAACAAAAGCGGGCCCCACGCGGGTCCCCCGCCGGGCGGTGAGCGGCGCCGCGCAGCAGCATCGAGCGGCCAAGCCCACGAGAGGGAGAGGCGGGGTCGAGATCGGCGCGGGGACCCAACGCACAGCCCCCGGGACCCCGCATCCAGACCCGTTATTGTCTGCGCGCGCGCAAGATGCTGCTTTAAATGCTCCCTCCCAGGTCAGCCGCAGGTCCCCGGCCCTGTGTGCCGCCCCCCAGGCTCTCTGCCCCGTGTGTCCGGCCCCGAGTGCGGCACGGATCGCCAAGGTGAGCGCCCAGGCAGCGTCGCCGAAAACCCAGGCCTGGAGGTGCCCAAGTCAGGGACGGAGATACACACACAGGCACACGCACGCACACGCATGCCCTCCCCGAAGTTGATAAAAATCAGCCGACAAATACAAAGTGCCACCGCCGCCGCAGGTCAGCGCTGACCTCCTGCTGCCGGGAAGACCGAATGCCAACGCCTGGACGCTGTCACTTCCATTTGGCGCCGGGCACCTGGGCGCCTCTGGCTTGTCTCCCTCCTGACTGCTCCCTCGCGCGAGGGATGTCTCCTCTTGCCTCCCCTCGCCAGCTCCCCACCTCCCAAGTGTGTGAACACGAAAACAATACGAGTAAAGCTCAATCGGGGGGAGCTAGGACCCGCCGGGAGCCCCAGTGTGCGGGAGATGGGGGTCAGGACGTGCCCGTCACGGGCAAAGCGGCTCCGGGCATCCTCATCGTCGTCCCTCGGGGCGGCTCTGGCCAGCCGGCCCGGGCCCCCCAGGCCTGCAGTACTCACCCACGACGCTCGTCCCGGATCTCCGCGATGGGGCCGGGGACAATGCGGGGCTGCCGGGCTCCTGAGGCTGCGGGCGCCGAGGCGATCACCGCGCTGCAGAGCTGCGCGCCCGACGGCGGCGGCGCTGCTCGGCCCGGCCGCGCTCCGGCCCGCTTGCCGTCTGCCAATGGGAGGTGTCAGGGTGCCTCCGCCGGCGGCCTCGGGGGCGGGGCCGCGGGAGCCCGTGGGAAACCGAACTCCGATTGGGCCGCCTGACAATCGCTCCGCCTCCGGCCGGCCAATCAAAGACGGCGGATACAGGAGCGGGGCGTTCGGAGTTGGGCTGGAGAGCGACAACAGGCGCACGCTGGGTACCCGGGCTGCATCCCGGCTTGGCGCGCGCGGCTGGAAGGATGCGGGCGCTGCGCGCTCCGGGGCTGCCTTCCCACGAGGCTCCGGCGGCCAGGCTAGGGAGAGAGGGGGAAAGCAGAGGAGGCGCGGCTGGCCGGGCATCGGTGCGGGAGCTCCTAACAAAGCAGCTTTGGGAGGGCCGAGCGGCCTCCGCCTCCTCCCGCAATAGGTCCGCGAAGCTGCCTGTCACCCTGCATAGGTGGAGGTGGCCAATGACGTACAGAGAAGGAGCTCGAGTTGGCGCGCGCGCGCGGCTCGGCATCGGTGGGATTGGTCGGAGGTAAAGGATTTTCCTGCCACCTAAGGCAGAGAGGAAAGGGGAACGGAACGGGGGAGGGGAAGAGCCAAAATACGTTGTACCTGCGACACGTGGTCTGGCTTGGAAGGCGTGTGCCTGCTTCCAGAGGGAGACGAGAACTTTTTTGCTAGGGAAAAAAAACCCTCACGTAATCCCTCCCTGTGGATGCTAGGGGATGTTAGCGCTAACCAGGCGCCAGGTAGGGCACGGTGGCCTTAACCGAGTCCTGGGGGGTCCAGGACGCACCGGTTGACTCACCTTGCCCGGCTAGTGAACCTGCAATCACAGCGTGGGCTCGGGCCTCACATTCACCTACTGGGGCAGAGTACCTGACTCGGGCACGGTTCGCACAGACCTCCTGGTCTCTTCTGTAAAATGCGGAAACGAGGTTTGCCGTTTACCTTTCGCGAAGTCGTGAGGGACACGGAAACCGGGACGCTGATTGTAGAGACTCAAACGAAAGCTCGCCCCCACACCGGGCAGTGCTTCCTCCTCACTTTAAATGCTTTGGACTTCGCCGTTGTGAACAAAGGCTGCGGGGAATATTCGTTACAACAGATGCGGTGGCCGCGTTCGCACCGAGGAAGGCCAGCGCTCCCACCCCCACCCCCACCTCGTGGTTATCTGGTCGAAAACAAGGAATTCCCTGTGTCAGAGAGTAAACCTAAACTGGAAAATTAAAAGTCATCCTTGACTTCTCCCTCCTCCTCCTCCTCCCCTCTATTCCTGCCAACCTCCCCAATCCATGCCCTCCTCCTGGTCCTCTCTCACTAGACCACATCAAAGACTTCCCATGTCTTTCTACCCCAGGCCTTGCCTCCTGAAATCTATTCTCCACTTGGCGGAAAAGTCTCATTTTGCTGACTCCCCTCTGGATCGCTTCCCTTTGCCCAGAGCCCCCCCTGCCCCCATGCTTTCCTTTCACTTGACTGCTTCTTACCCATTCTTCGGATCCCAACTTCGCAGGCAGGGCATTGATGCAGTAGAAGTTTGCTGAACTCCAGCTGTGCAGCAGACAGTCTTGTGGGAGCATCTGTATCCAGTCGAGGTTAGATACCCACATCCCCCACCCCCGGTGTTCCCATGTGTTACAACGGGGCTGAAATTGCCCGTTAATTGTGCTCTCCCCCCACCACCACAGCACTCCATTGCATCCGGAATCTTATCTGCCTTGTATCTGCTGTGTCCCAGTGCCTAGCATAGTACTTGGCACATTTGGGGCTCTCCAAAATACTTAATCAATGAACTATAGAGGAGCTGTAATGAGAGACGAGCTTTGAAGATCTGAAGTGCTTCTGAAACATCAGTTTGAGAAGAATGGTTGGGATAGTAGATCTCAGAGTGATAGGCCCACCAGGTCCTGTGATGGGTGTTACAGCGAAGTTTTTGAGTGAGGTTTGAGAGATTTTCCAAAAGACACCCTTTCAAAAGACTGCCTTTATATCAGCCAATACCTTGCCCAAGCTTCTCAAGGGAGAATCCTTCCTTTGTGAAGCTTTTCATCCCAGGAGAAAGAGCAATGTCTTACAAGTTCTTAACCTGTTACCAGACACCATCTTAGAAGGGGAATATAATATATATATATTGGAAGGGGAATATATCCATATATGTGTGTGTATATATATATACGTACATATATACATATATATGTGAAAATTAGTAGACGGTTTCCGCCTAAGGATGTTCAGAAATACGTTTGGCTATGCTCTGGAATCAGGCTGCCTAGTTTCAAGTCAGCTTTGTCATTTTCTAGCTGTGACCTTGGGCAAATTATTTCAGACCTCTGTGCCTCAGTTTCTCCATCTATATAATTGAGATGATAATAGTGCCCACCGCATAGGGTTGGTATGAAGATGAATGAGTTAATATTAGTAATGTGCTTAGAAGAGTGCCTGGCACATGGCATTATGGCATTAAATAATGTTTACTAGGGGCTGGCCCCATGGCATAGTGGTTGAGTTCGGCGCGCTCCACTTCAGGGGCCAGGGTTCCCAGGTTCGGATCCTGGGTGCGGACCTGCACCGCTTGTCAGCCATGCTGCGGTAGCAACCCACATGCAAACTAGAGGAAGGTTGGCAACAGATGTTAGCTCAGGGTAAATCTTCCTCAGGAAAAAAAAATCAAAGAAGGTTTAAAGAAAAATAAAAAAGAGAAAAGAAAAAAGAATGTTTACTAAATAAATAAACATCTTCCACTGGAGACACGAGTGGTGGGGCTTGCTGAGGCCTCCCGTGTTAGTGGCAGGTTACTAAAGGCTTTCCTGGAGGTGAGTGGATGGATCTCTTTCCTGCCTCAGCAGGACTGCTGCCATCATGGCCATCCTGTTAAAGAGGATAACATTGTTGCAAGGTGAGTCGGATGAATCCTCAGAGTGGCCATGAGCCTAGCCCGTTCTGCTAAGAAATCTGAAAAGCAGTTAAGAGTCAGAACTCTGGAGCTGGACTGGCTGGTTTGAGTCCCAGGGCCACCTCCTTCCAGCTCTAGAGCCTTAATCAGGTTACTTAATCTTTCATAAACCTCACTTTCTCATTCTATAAAATAGGAGTAATACCGCCTAAGCCATGAGGATATAGAGGGGATTAAAAAAGTCATGCACAGCACATAATATGCACTCATAAAAGTTAGCTATTGGGTTTAGCTAAGTTGACTAAACACTCTGAACCACAGTTTCTCCATCTTTAAAATGGGATGATGACACTGCATTAAGTGGTTGAAAAACCCAAATGAGACGGTAGGAGGACGTGCTTAGCCCTGTCCGTAAAGGGGAGGTGGACACATCAGAAACCACCACTGGGCTCTTTCCATCATTCCCTCTCTCCCTGTGCTCCCTCTACATCAACACGTAGAACTTCGCCTCTCAGCCTCTGCTCCATGCTGACCGGGGAGGCTTTGTGCCCACCCTCGTGATGCTGCCGCTGAGGTTAATGGAGTTAAGCCGATCCAGCCTTGGGGTACATTTCTTGACCTGGAAAACCTGAAAGCTACTGCAGGTTTCTGTGCTGTTTTTGTCTCTGCTCTGCACAATATGTTGCTCCTTCACACCATGGCAAAGAGAGTGGGGCATTTTGATTAAAACAACAGACAAATGCCATCTGGCAGATTATTCTGGTGTCCCATCTCCTGAGGGCACTGTTGACATCTAAAGAGAACATAGCATTGGTGTTAAAGAAAAAACTGGAGTGGTCAAAGGCAGAATTAAGAGTTTAGGACAGGAGAATGAGGAGAATTTATATCTCTAGGACATGACCCCAACTTCAACTACGAGTTGACATTTCCTCCCTACCACACCACTTATTGAAAGCTTTACTAAAGAGAGTCAGAGCTAAGTTACAACAATGGCCCACCGTAGTATGGCTACACCACAGAGATGAGCCACACCTTCCACCCTAAGGAGTCCTCTGTCGCCTCTGTTCCTGACCTGGGCTTCCTTTCAAATAGATGCTCCCTGAGGGCAGGGCTGAGGTCTGTTTGCTTCACTGCTGTAACCCTAGTGTCCAGAACAGGGCCTGGCACACAGTAAGTGATCAATAAATATTTATGGTTTAGTGGAATTTTGTCTCCAACTAAATTTAAGCTCCTTGAGGGCACACTTTACTCTCCTGGAGCTTACACATCATATGTGTTCAATAAATATTTGCTGCAAAAATACTTAATGGTTGAGTTATCATTCACTCGGGAACCCACCAGGAGAGAGATGAGTTTTCCAATGCAGCTGTTGATGAGTTTGTTCTGATTCATCCTCAGTCTCTTGCCAAGATTCCTCCAGCCTATTAGTCCCCCCAAGGATTTGTAGACAGTTGGGGCTAAAATCTAGAGAATATTCTAGTTAGTCATGTCTATCCCTTTCCGAGTTTTTCTCTAACCAACCAGCCAGGTCACTAATGAGTACCAAAGCTTGACAATAGGTTCAGAGAAGGTGGAATCTCCTCCTTCTGGATCTGGTAAGCCATTCCTGACGTGGTTTTCTTCTGAGGTACACTCCCCTAGAGCTTTGCTAGGTATTCTGAGAAACAGCTGGCAGACCCCTTTAAAACCTAGCCTGGGCTGGGTGTTTCTAAGAGCTCCCCCCGACCTTGGACTGCAACACCCCACCCCCAACCACAGAGCAGACAGACTTAGTAGATAGGACTCTAGCTGTAGCCACTGCTGCAATGAGATTTAAAAGTGACGTAAAAATGACACAAACTGGTTTAATTTATAAATATCTGGAATGACAAATATAATGGATGTTGAGCACATTATTGGAGGTGGGATGATTTTTAAAACTACCTGTGGGAAAGGAGGAAGGAAAGAAAGGGAAGGAAGGAAAAGGGGGAGGGAGGCAGGGAAGGAAGGAAGCAGAAAGAAAGAAAAGGAGGGAAGGAAGGAAGGAAGGAAGGAAAGCAAAAAGAGGCACAAATCAATACCCCAGCACTTCCATCAGGACCCTTGAATCTACCTGGTTCCCGAGCGGACTCTGCCCAGGGTCAGCTTCATGGCCATGTGGCCTGTGCGGTCCCTCAGGGTCCCCACACTTGGTTTAATGCGCTGCTATTGCTGTCTTGAAAATCCTAATTTTTAAACAAGGATCTTTGCATTTTCATTTCGCTCTGGGCTCATGGAGCCTGTCCTTGCCACATCTCTTCTACTCCCAGGTGTCTCATCCTTAGTCCTCCTTGATCCCCAAAAGTTTGTACTTTTCACACAGCAGGCACTCAGCATAACTGTGTTAAGGGATTCAACATAAATGTGAAGTCTCATTTGTCCTTTATATGCCAGAATTCATGGGACAAGCTCCGGCGTTATGTAGAGACATTCCCTTGAGAGCTTGGAGCTCTAGTGCAGCAATGAACATTCAGCTCACAAGGGGACACACCTGCATCTTCTCAGAGAATTCCAAGAAGATAAGCAAGGACAACCCAGGCAACATGAAGCCCTCAAGGGAAGATAGACCCTCCCATTCTGTGCTGGTTCATTTTATGAGTCAACTTGACTGGGCCACAGAGTTCCCAGACATTTAAGCAAACATTATTCTGAGTGTATCTGTGAGGGTGTTGCTGATGAAATTAATAAAGCAGATTACCCTTCCAAATGTGGGTGGGTCTCATTCAATGAGTTGAAGGCCTAAATAGAACCAAAAGGCTGGCCCTACTTTGTGAAAGATGGAATTCCTCCTGCCTGACTACATGAGCTGGGACATCGGTCTTTTCCTGCCTTCAGACAAACTGAAACATCGGCTCTTCTTGGCTCTGAATCTGCTGGCCTTCAGACTTACTCCATCAGCTCTCCTGGGTTGCTTGCTGGTTACAGATCTTGGTACTTCTCAGCCTCCGTAATCACATGAACCAGTTCCTTGTAATAAATCTCTCTCTATATGTATATGTAACATATATAGTCATGTGCCACATAACGATATTTCGGTCAATGAGGGACCACGTATATGTTGGTGGACCCATAAGATTGGTACCATACAGCCTAGCTGTGTAGTCAACTCTACCATCTAGGTTTGTGGAAGTCCATTCTATGACGTTCGCACAATGATGAAATCACCTAACAACGCATTTCTCAGAACGTATCTCCACCACTCAGCAATACATGATTGTGTATATTGGTTTGTTTCTTTGGAGAACTCTGACTCATACACATTCCCAAAGTGTTCCCCACGGCCATTCTACTATTCACTGTTCCACTACAGACGTGTCTGCTCAAAGTCTGGGCCACAGAGCAGCAGCAACATCGCCTGGGGCCATAATTGCTTAGTCCCAGGCCCCATCCCAGACACGCTGGATCTGAATCCACATCTTAATAAAATCCTTGGTGATCCATCTGCACATAAGGTTTGGGAAACACATCAGGCCTCTGAAAATACAAAGCCACCTGGGAGAAATGACAGTATTAAGTATTTAAGAACAACTTCGTAAAAGAATGCATTGAACCAAGGCTTCCTTACCTGAGGACAGATGTTGGGAGTAGGTGAGAGAGGGTCCAGAAAAGGAGTTAAGAAGGGGGCATTTTCCCAGCCAGGATCAGCCTTAAATTATGGAGAAAAGACCAAGGAAGCCTCAGTCTGCAAACTCACGCGCCTGCCAATACACAGCAAGTCAAGGTCAGAGGGCGAGGCCAGACCAGTCAGGGCCCTTACGGTCGGTCGGGGACCCCAGTGCTGCCTCCTTTCTGTAACGTGCTGGGCTGCACTTTATTTTCTGCGTTTTCCCTGAAGTGGCAGTTTGTGGAGAAACTCTCCCGCTTGGCTGCGAACAGGCTCTAAGCAACAGCAACACTTCTGCAGAATTGGCAGGACTGCGCTGCGGAATCTTTCAGAGACTTCAAGGCAGGGGACAAACAAACAACCAAAAAAAACGAAAGAAAACAGCTCCTCAAAATGTGTTTTGAGGGGAAAGAGCTGAGAATCAAAAGCAATTACCGGAAATGCATCCACTGGTCTCCCCAAAAAACCGATTTGATTTGATTATTAATTCATCTGCATGAGAAAGAACCAAAGCTCCCCTTAAAACAAATGGTAACAACTGGTTTATCACATCATGGCCTGTGGACCCTCTCCTCACTTACACACGATGATCACGGTCCCTGCCGGCCCAGGGAGGGGGACACTGGCTCAGAATCGCCTCCTCTCCTGCTCCTCCAGCACCTGGGCAAGGTGCGATGCATGGAACCTTCCAGAGCAGGCACTTGCAGCTCCACTGGCCTCAGACCATCCATTGTTCTCTATTCTACCAATCAGTCATCCTCCCCAGAATGGGTGGAAAAGGTTGGAATGTGGCCGTGCTGCCTCAGCAAAACCATCGCTAGGCTTCCAGAAGCTGCTCTTCACAGGAGCAAACTAGTGCAGGGGAGCCGCAGAAATCAACCTCTCTTCTTGGAGGAAGGTAACAGCCCCATTTTCTCTCTATCCCTATGGAGATGTTGCCCCTACATACACACTGCCTAGAGACGGAGGAGTTAAAGCCGAAGAGGCTAGTG